TTAATTTAAAATTGGCCTTTAAATTTGCGTACTGTAATAATCGGTAGATATTTCAAGGTCGTTTGTATCGAAAATTTTTTTATAGTGTCAAGGTCTCATTATCTTCCCTTTACATTTGTACTTCCGCACATTTTTTTAAATCATTTAAATTTTTCCTTAAATTTTGCACTATTGCTCTTCATTAATTTTTATTTAAAAATTTATTTTAATTAGGTATTCGAATTTACACTATTGACTTTTCTGTAACCCTATTCTGGACCCTCTCGCTAAATAATTAGGCCCAGACTGAAATTATCGGTCCAAAATATTTCTGTCCTAGAGTAAAATTCCTAGTTGCAGTCCCAGACTGAAATTACCACTCTCTCGAAATTTTTAAGAAAAATTTTTAAATTTGAATTTCCCGCCAACTAACGTCTTGTAATTTGGCATACTGTAATAATTGGTAGATACTGTATTTTGACAAATTCCCCTTACATTTGTATTTCCGCAAATTTTTAAAAATCATTTTAATTTTTTCAAAATTTTGACTAATATTTTTTTCTTTTATAGTTTTATTCTATTAATGATTTTTTAAACTATTTTTATTTTGTTTATTAAATATTTTAGTTTTTTAAGTTTTAAAAATTTATTTTAGATTTTTATCGCGAAATTTCGTAATTTTTACAAAATTTCATTATTTTTATAAATTTAAAATTTTTTTAAAAATTCCCGAAATCGACAGTAGAAAAGAAAATTTACTCCAAAGGTGTTATTTTTTATTTTTCCCGCAAATGAACTTGGGAGGTGAAACAGCCAATATATTTATTTCCCCTTAATTTTTAAAATTCTTCTTTATATAATTTTTTACTGTAGAGGTTTCCCTTTCTACAGTAATCCTTGGTTTCCCTTTATCCTACCCACACTTTCCCATACATTTCATGTATTGTATACAACGATTTTTTGTCAGAAAATTTCATCTAAGTCCTTAGATTTCCCTTTGTAATGCCGACAGTTTCCTCAAAATTACCTATCTGGAATAGGTGGGAGAAATTTAGTAACGGGAGCCTTTATCCATCTTCCACCTTAATCACCCTCATTCACTCGCAAATTTCCTTGTACTTGTACAAGAAATTTGTCAAGGTCATTTCCTTCTCACCCCCCATCTCTCTGTTCAACTGGGACAGATGGGACAGTGGGGGTGGGGTTACTACTAAAAATGGGTGGTACGAAAATAAAAGTTTCCCTCACATTTTGGTGCCTACACACCCTTCCCTCTTTGTTGCACTACTGTAACAAAGTGGGGGGGGGGTAACTACTAAAAACAATACTTTTTCGGTAAATACAATAATAATTAAAATATTTAATAAATACTCTAATTATTGTTCAATCACCGTATATTTATCAGTACAATCATCACAAATTTTAACTAATTGATCTGTCTTTTGATATATTGTATGGAATTGTTTTACACCTTTTTTTGTTGAAAATTTGAAAAAAAATAAAAATAAATTCCTACCACTTTCGTAGGCCGGACCTTGAGCATATAAAATATGCCACCAATTAGAAGTATTTAATTTAAGAATCTTTTATTTTAATTTAAAATTAAATTAAATTTAAAATTATTTTTTACCATATTCCTTTCTTCTTTTGGAATATTATTTATTTTATTATAATCAACAATAAATGTACATCCAAATATTCCATTTTTTCTTAAAAAATTTTTCTCGGAAAGTAAACTTTTTGATGCCTATAAAATAAAGAGTGAAATTGGCAGAAGTTTTTATTTAATTTAAAAATATTTTTACTTCAATAAGAGGTATATTTTGTGTAAATAAATTATATGAAATTTCCATTTTAGGTTTATCATTTCCAATAAATATACAATCCATAACGGAGTCGTTTCCCTCAAAAATATTAATTAAATGGATATAAAAATTAATTTTAAAAAATTTAAAACTTGAAATATTCTAAAAGAATTACTCCTACAGAGAGAGAGAGGGGGATGGGTACAAGTTTAACCTTTTACAAGTCGAACGTAATTGTAATTTTCAAAAATAATAAAATATAATTAGTTCTCAGGTATTTTAATAAGTTTAATAAAATTAATAATTTTGTTTTGTTTAATTTTAAAAATATTTAAGGAGATTTTAATTTAAAATTTCGGATATAGTTTAGTATACCGGAGTTTTAGTTCCAATATAAGACCCATACCATTCGATTCGTCTCGGCGAGCTGAGTCGAACGGTACCACTCTCCAGGCGCGGAAATGCCTGTGGACCGAGATATAGGTCCTCGAAAATCGAAAAACCATAGGGGGTTGATTTAGGGTTGATTTAGGTGTCATTTCGTTGATTTAGGTGTCATTCGACTCAGCTCGAGGAGCTCTTTCGAAAGAGCTATTATTTGCATATTCGAATTTTTCACCCCAAAATTGTGCTTACTCCCCCCTTTGGTTTTTCGATCTTCGGGGACCTATATCTCGGCCCACATTCATTTCCACGCCTGGAGAGTGGTACCGTTCGACTCAGCTCGCCGAGACGAATCGAATGGTACGGGTCTTATATCGGAACTAAAACTCCGGTATACTAAACTACAGCCAAAATTTCCAATTAGTTTTTACAAAATTTCTCTCAATTAATTATTTTAAGCTATATCCTAATTGTTATTAAATTACCATAGACATATCATCACTAAATGCCATAGCCATCCATTGAGGTTCATTTGCATTAATAATTGGTTTTGCCTTTTTATTAAATTAAAATATATTTATTTTATGTAATTCTCTAAAAATGCCTGTATTTCAATTAACAATTTATTTTGTTGAAAAACCCAACGAATTATCTTTAATTTATTAATTTAATTAACAAAAAATATTCAATTAGGTAATATTCAATTTCGTTCCCCCCCTCCTTTTTCCTTCCTCAAAGTATTAAAAAATGGTCAGTCTGAACAACAATTGTAGAACCCATCGAGCTGTGTCGAATGATACCAAAATCAACAAAATCCGACTTGATTTGACCGAAATACAGACCCCTGAAAATTGAACAACCACAGGGGCTAAAAACCAAAAGGACGAAAAAGTATACAAATGATAGCTTATTCGAAAGTGCTCGTCGAGCTGAGTCGGTTGACACTAAAATCAACGTAATTGGACAAGTTTCGATGACAAAAGTCGCCGACTCCGGTAGGTCTAAATAATGTCATAACTTTATCAAAACACGTCCGATTGCATTGATTTGGGTGTCATTCGACTCAGCTCGATGAGCTCTTTCCAATGAGCTATCATTTGTGTAAACTTTTTTAATTTCAAAAAATCGCCCCTATGGTTGTTCAATTTTCAGAGGTCTGTATTTCGATCAAATCAAGTCGTATTTTGTTGATTTTGGTATCATTCGACACAGCTCGATGGGTTCTACAATTGTTGTTCAGACTGACCATTTTTTAATACTTTGAGGAAGGAAAAAGGAGGGGGGAACGAAATTGAATATTACCTTTTAATTAACTGCTTGACAATTTTCGAGAGAATTACATCCAGAAGGATATGGCCAACAAGCACGACTTTTCCCGCATTCTTCTAGTCCATAAAGATTAAATGTTGCAATAAAATTTAATAAAAAACAATTGAGGAATAACAACTGTTTAATGAATAAAAATAAAATTTTCTCGAAATTTATTTAAAAAATAAAATTTATATGTGTTTTTCAAGGATAATTTTTTATTTAAATATTAATTAATATTTATTATCAAAAATGACAAACCAGAATGATTTTATAACAAATACACATTTATTTATTTATAAAAATAAAATATTTTTAGTTTTTATCTGGTGTAAAATTTTATAAAAAATAATTTATTTATTTTAAATTTATTAAGTGATTGAAATAATTATTTAACAAAAAATTTTTTTCCAATAAGAAGGTGCGAAAATTTTATTAGCAAAAATTAATTAATCAATTCGGCGAATAAAATTAAAAAAAAACATTTATGTAGAATACATATATAACATTATACATAAAGTTATACTTTTTATTTATTTAGAAACCAATTCTTCAATTGCAATTAAATAGACATTACATAAATTAAAAATTAATTTAATTAGCAAAAGGAATGTTTAAAATAATTTTTAAATAATTATTTTAAAGTAATTTACGTCAAAACATTGAAAATATATTTTAAAAAGCATAAACATTACCATAATTCAACTTATTTTTCATTAAATACAGACTATACAGGGCGACACAAAAGCAATGGGACAAGTTATTTATGCCATAACTTTTTCAAATTCAAGATTATGAGGTTTTAAATGGTAGAGAAGGAATAAATACAATCAAAAATTTTCGAAATGCTCATCACTTGTTTGAATACAGAGTTGAAGACGTGTGGGAAAATCTGGGCATTAGTTTAACGTGAGATTTTCTCCCACTATCACGAACAATGGGAGAAAAAATTGCATTCACAACAGTTTTTTCCCATTCAATAACAATTCAAACTTTTTTTTTCTCGATTCAAGAAAATCAAGTGTTTTGACATTTCTGCAGATAAGGGTGTTTGGAATGCTTAACAATTAAATTAGGAAGAGGAGATTCTGCAGCCTGATATCTCATTATTGTGAAATTACTTTAAAAGAATTTCGTGCCAATAAAGTATCAACTGCTTCATAATGTACTTGTACCACTAAGTCCTAATTCTCTCCATTTCTTTTGTAAAAAGTTGTGACTTTTGAACTTAAATGATTTTGCGTTTGAATGATTTAAGACAAAATTTATTAACTTTAAGGTTTTTCAAAAAAATTGAAAATGGTTGATAAAATCAAAAGACAGCTCAATTCAAATAATTCTTACTAAAAATTACAAGAAATTTTAAACTTGGAAAAATTTTTACTTTAACATTATAAAAGATTACAATTAACATATATTGAAAGCTTAATAATGTAATCGCTGAGATTTAAAAAAATAAGAACATTATTAAAAATAAATTATTAAGAATTAAAATGTTATTTGCGACCATCTTAAGCACCATCTTTAAGCGTTATTTCCATCGTAGGCAACAGAAATTAACAAGTGGTCTGCCATTTCTTTATATTCAGCTTCAAATTCCTTCCACTCATTGCTGGCCAAAAATTTCTTTCGATTAGCAGAAATGAAATCAACACAAGCCTGTAAATTAACTTTCATTTATATTTCAAAATTCAGAAGAATCTCGACATAAATAGAGGATTGGATAAAAATAAGTTTGGAAATATGGAAAATGCTCCCCCGTAAAAATCCAAATGAACTAGAATCTCTAATTTTAAAAAGATTTTCACTAACAGAATTTAGCTCGAGCTTTACAGCCGAGATTTACTAAAAAAATTAAATCTCTGGAAAATAAACCTACCTTTTCAACCATAGGAAGACCGTGTACTCCAGCATAAAGGTAGCGTTTCCCGAAGTTCTTAGCATCTAATGAAAAATTATTTTAATAAAATGTGCAAATGATAACAAAAAAGATAGCTCTCAAAAAGTTAAACAATTTTTTGAAAATGAGAATAATTTATTTACCAATTCCCGAAGCCATAAATTGTTCACAAATTTCCTTTAACGGCAAAACTTGATATTTTTCAGCAATCGCAAATAATTCTTCGGGAAATTTTTCCAGAGAAACTATTAAAAGTTGAATTAGAAAAATTGTAAAAAATACCTTTATCAACTTCACCACTGTAAAAATATTTAAGCATAGCAAGAAAACATTCATGAGAAGAATCGGCGATATTGATTTCACCCTTGGAATTTTATATCATTTTAAAATTAGAAAAAAATTATTTGATTGGGGGCAAATTTTGATAAAAAAATTCGAATATATAAATGTTAGCCGATTCGAAAGAGACCTTTTGAATTACAAGTTTAAACAACATTATGATCATTTGTTTAGCTCCTTATCTATGTCATCTGTGGAGCTTTTTCTTCTGCGGAAGAAGCCAGGCATGCCCACCTCATTGATAGGAATAGGATTAAGTTACGAGCCCAGAACCCAGCGACCGTTAATCCCGGCAAGACGAGTGCAAAGTATGAATTATCAATTTGTAAAAATATACATTTTGCGCCTCGAGCATACCACCGTGTTCAAACATTCTTAAGAATACTTCACTATTCTGCGCCAAAATACAACGATGAGCGTTTATTTTCTGATTCTCAATCTGAAAAATTATAGCCATCAATATTAGTCTTTTAAATCCCCAAATTTGTAAGGAAATATTTGGTAATCTTCAGCTTTACTGGTCCCTAGAAAAAAATCAACAAGAAATGCTTTTTCGACATTTTTGAGATTTACCAGTAAGTAATCGAGTGTGCTGAATCAGAATCTGAGCTTAGAATTTGTTTATTTTTAAACCCTGACCCGATTTCGACCGAGACTTCGTCTAAAGTTGTGAAGCACAATAATTTTATTACCATTCGACTCAGCTCAAAGAGTAGAGTCAAAATAGCTACATTATCCTAATTTTGAAGTTTTACCCCGAATTCGACGGTCGAATTTAGTTCCGGAGTTCGAAATAAACAAATTCTAAGCTCATTCGGATTCAGCACACTCGATTACCTACTGGTAAACCTCAAAAATGTTGAAAACGCATTTCTTGTTGATTTTTTTCTAGGGACCAGTAAAGCTGAAGATTACCAAATATTTTTATAGCGGACGGAGATCGTTAAAATTACATTATTTTGAAATTACTAACGTTAATAACACAATCAGTAAGCGTTTCCTGTTCAAACATGTTACTCATTAATTTTTTAAAATTAGTTGACGAAAAATTGCCAATATCATTAAATCCACATTTCAACTTTCGACTGCGTCTCAAATTTTGAGGCAAAAATCGAATTTCGCAAATAAGCAACACAGAACCTAAAAAGTTTATTAAAATTTAACAAGTCCTTAGAATGAATTACCTACCATCCGTATGTGACAATCTTTCCATATCAAGTTTATGTCTCCAAGTTTCTTTGAAGCGATTAAAATCGTGTGACATAACTCTGTCACTAAAATTAACAATTTGGAATCAATTGCCCACAACTTACGGACAAATATCGACGCGTTCTCCTCTAGCATCCAAAGCATATAACTCATATTTTACCTTCAACGTTTCCTTCACTTGTACAAGTGTAGCATAATTGTTAGATGAGTATAAATAAACTCGCAACTCCCACGCAGCTGAACGATATTGTGGATTGTAAAACTTCTTACCTACATAATATTTATGAAATTATAAATTTAAAATAGAAAGAAACTAACTCGAGAAACACTTTTCATTTGGCATAAACTCTCTGTATGTATGCAAATCGTTTAATTTCCATTCGATTTTACAAGTAACTGTCTCAGCCTGAGAACATTTAATAATAATGGAATTATTTAAAAAATACCTTATTGAGGACATCTGCAGACGACATTGTCCTAAATAAAAAATTTTGTGAATTAATTTTAAGAAATTTGTATAAGTTAATAAAAAATGAAAGAATGAATTTTGTTTTCCGTGCACATCAAAGATTTCACGGGTTACCCAAAACCCTGACTTTATTTCGACCCGATACCCGACCCGAAAAATTTTCTAAAACCCGACCCGAGAATTTTTATTTTTCAAAACCCGACCCGAGCTTTCTAAAATTTTCGCCTGCGGCGCAGAAAAGGAAGAAAAATAAAGATCCAAAAAAATCAAGATCTGGGTCGGAATTCAAGCCGATTTCCAAATAAAACTTATATTATGGTATGTTGAGGGATTTGCGACTGAAAGCGAAAGATCAAGAGGTGTATTTGGATTAGAGGTCGGCGCGGGACGGGATCCCGGCGGGATTTTCCGGGATCCCGATCCCGGATTTTTTTGATTTTCGGGATCCGGGATTTTTTCGGGATTTATCCCTCGGGATCCCGTCCCGGCCTCGGTTAAGAAAAAAATCCCGACTCGGGATCCCGAAAGTGCGATTTTGCCGACCTCTAATTTGGATCAAGAGTTTTAATGGATAGATATCAAGGGAGTTGGATATTAATCCCCAAATCCCCTAATATTACTCTTAGTCCATCCAAATCCAACTTAATCCCTACGGTATTACACTTACTAATAGCTAAAACACAGTTATCCCCATCCGAAAATCTGGCTTCATACATAATTGAATTTTATACTAACCCGACCCGACGACCCGATACCCGGATTTTTTTCGACCCGAAAAAAATTTGAAAACCCGGCCCGACTTTTTTCTCAACCCGAAACCAGATCCAAGAAAAATTTTGGAAACCCGACCCATTTTTCTCATATTAATCACTTCGCTATAAATATCGCAGCCATTTTACTACAAATGATTCATTGTTCAGTTCAGAGTTTTGTTCAGTGTTCTTTTTATTTTTTTAGTCCTTATTCCTAGTTAGTCGTCAATAAATAAATTGTTCGCTCATTATTAAAAGAAATAAAACTTTCTATTGTGTTGAAAATTGATTGGAATTAATATTAAGGAAAGAAATTAGAGTTAATTTATCCGAAAATTGTCTATTTCGGAAAAAGTATGTTAGTGTAAACGAATGTGGTGCGTTCGAATATTATAATAAAAGTGCTTAAATCTGCGAGTATCTTTTGGGAAATGAGCTCATTTCCCTGGCCGATTTCATTTCCCTACCCAAATTTTCAAGTTCTAGCTCATTCGAAATAGCTGATCATGTTGAGTCGAATAACACCAAAATCAGGTCGATTTGATGATTCTGAACAAAATTATGACAAGCTGAAAACTTTTTGTGCTGCTACGGATAGTCGGTCGGGCAAGGGCCTATCCAGGGGGTTGATTTCAGGGGTGATAAAATGGGGTGTGCGCCAAAATTTTTCACAATCTTCTCCAATTTCGAGAGTCTTGATGCGATCAAAACCCTTATCCCACTCTTAAAACGAAAATCTTTACTAAAAATTACAACAGTAAATTTTAAATTGCTCATAAAGAAATTTTATCATATTTTGAGAAAATTATATATAAATGCAAAATTAAAAAATGGAAATTAACTCTAAAAGATTCAACCTCATTTAATAAATAATCATTTAAGTTATCGCTGAGATTTAAAAAATTGAAAGAATCGAAACAATATCCGAAAACTTTATTATTATAAGGCCAAACTTTTCGCACCAATTTTAGGCAACATCACCCTCATAAGCAACAGTTATTAACAATTGATCTGCCCTTCCTTTATCTTCAGCTACAAATTGCTTCCACTCATTACTGGCCAAAAATTTCTTTCGATTAGTAGAAATGAAATCAACACAAGCCTGTAATTAATAATTTAAGACTCGATGAATATCGACATAAATATAGATTGATAAAAAGAAAAGTAAAAACGAAATGGAAAATATCCTTATAAAAATCCAAATCAACAGAATAAATTTTAGGAATAACTTCAAAAATAAATTACTCAAATCCGAAATTTCATGATAGAAATGAGATTTTGATAGAAATGAGAATAACTTCAAAAATAAATTACTCAAATCCGAAATTTCATGATAGAAATGAGATTTTTGAGATTTTGTAGAAAAATAAATTTACCTTTTTAATGATCGGAAGTCCGTGTATTTCAGCATAAAGGTAGCGTTTCCGAAAATTTTTAGCTTCTAAAAAAGTAAAATTTAGGCAACTGAATTAAAAAGTAATTTTAATGTCTGAAAGCTAGATCTGCAAATTTTCCCCCAAACAAATTCTACAAATATTAAACGAAAATGAAAATAATCATGGTTCTTCGAAGTTAGTAAAATTTTTCATTATGGACAAATTGGCAAAAAACCTATCGCAAGCTATCATTAAAAAAAGCTTAATCTCAAACAGTTTACTACCTAATCTTTGGGATTGTTTTAATAATTAATTTAATATGTAAATAGTTACCAATTCCCGAAGCCATGAATCGTTCACAAATCTCCTTTAATGACAAAACTAGATATTTTTCAGCAATTGCAAATAATTCTTCGGAAAATCTTTCCAGAGAATCTATTAAAAGTTGAATTAGAAAAAAGTGTAAAAATACCTTTATCAACTTCTCCGCTGTAGAAATATTTAATCATTGCAAGAAAACATTCATAAGAAGAATCGACAATATTGATTTCACCCTTAAAATTTTTTTTAGCATTTTTAAACTAAAAACCCGTAATATTTGTACAATCTCGATGACGTGAAAATATTTGCTATTACTATATATATACCCGTCCACAGATGCGAACCCCTTGTTGTCCTAGATAGCCTCGAAACAAAAAAAAACTTAAAACCCCCGTTCCTGTATAATATTCGGTTTTTCATTAAAATTTTAGAATAAAATTAATAATTTATTAAGTTGTAAAAATATACATTTTGCGCCTCGAGCATACCACCGTGTTCAAACATTCTTAAGAATACTTCACTATTCTGCGCCAAAATACAACGATGAGCGTTTATTTTTTGATTCTCAATCTGAAAAATACAACAATCAATAGTGATTTATTATTAGAGTAGAAGTTTTTTATCGCGAAGCATAAAAATCAACTAGCAAATTTCATTATTTTAAAATTACTAACGTTAATAACACAGTCAGTAAGCGTTTCCTGTTCAAACATGTTAATTAATAATTTTTGAAAATTAGGTGTAGAAAAATTGCCAATTTCATTATGCCCACGCTTTGACTTTCGAGCGCGTTTCAAATTATGAGGCAAAAATTCGAGTTCACAAAAAAGCATCACAGACCCTGAAAAGGTTTATTAATTTGTTTTATCACCCAATTATATCAAATAAATTACCGTCTGTATGCATCAATCTTTCCATATCCAGTTTATATCTGATCGTTTCTTTCAAGAGATTAAAATCATGAGGAGTAACTCTAAATTTAGAACAAAATTAACAATTTGGAATTAATTACCTAAAACTTACGAAGAAATAAAGACACGTCCCCCTCTAGCATCCACAGCATATAACATATATTTTACTTTCAGTGTTTGCTTCACTTGTGCAAGTGTAATAAAATTGCTATATGAATTGAAATAAACTCGCAACTCCCACGCAGCTGTCGGGTATTGCGGATTGTAAAATTGCTTGCCTATTTAGGTATGGAAGTAATTTAAAATAAGAAAAAATTAACTATTGAAAAAAGTTTCATTTGCCACAAAATCCCTATATTTGTGTAAGTCCTGCAACTTCCATTCAATTTTACAAGTAACTGTCTCAACCTGAAAACATTTAATAATTATGTAATTATTCAAAAAAACCTTATTGAGGACGTCTGCAGACGACATTATTTTAAATAAGAAATAATTTGTAAATCGGGGATGAAGGATTTTAATAATTTAATTGTACAAAATATCTCTAAAAGTACAAAATGTACGAATTTATAAGAAAAATCACCCATAAAAAACTCGGATAATCCTCTCATTCATTGATTTCTAGAAAACAAGCGAAAAAAACTGCCAAAATTAGACAAATTCTGCAAAATTGTGAAAAAATATGAGACTGCGGTGATCCTTTAAATTTTATTACATTGCGGTATTTTTGAGTCCAGCGTTTTTACGAATTTCCTTCTTAATTTTTCGATAATTATTTTAGCTTAACAATAAGCTTGAAGCATTTAATTTTGATTATTTTATTGTTAGACTATTTTTGAATATCATTCATGACTTTAGCTTCTTAAATTAGGTCACGTTTTAAACTAAATTTTGTATTGGAGATTATTCTTTTTATATTTTCGTCCTTCAATTAATTATTCTATTGTCTTTGATGGATGATCAACAACCGCAGGTAATTTATTTTATTTAAACTTTATTATAAAAATTATTTGTTTGCTAATTATCATTTTGGTTTTCGTCAATTTTAATGAAATTTTTACTTTTCATTTATTTTGTAAATATTCTTTCAGAATTTTTTTAAAATTATTTTTTTAAAAATTTTGTCTTTCAAGGATGATGAAAATGTAATGGAAGAAGAGGATACATTAGTTTTGCGAATGGAAGCCATGATGTTGGCCGAGGATCAAGAAGATCGTCTTTCTTTTGCTGTTAAGATTATATATTAATCTTTTAAATTTAAAAATTTTTTTAAGGACTCTGAAAGGTTTGATGAGGATGATGAGCAATATTCTGTACAGGCAAGCGATTCAAGTTCAATAAGTCATCACTGGAGAGGATGGGACTCATCTTTGGCCAAAGTGGGCCAAGGTTATTTTTTTCTTTTTTTATTTTGGCTTGTTTAAGTTTTCCGTTCGTATGAACATTTTTTAGGAGAGAAAATGAGGGTCCACCTTTACTATGTATTAATCAGTTTTTAGATTTTTATTGTTAACGTACTTATAGTTAATGTTTTTCCATTTTCTTTTTACTCAATTTTCTCTTTAATATTTTTCCAGGTTTTGTCACTAAACCTTTCCTTATTGCTGATAGTTCGGCACTCGATGCTGCAGATTTATTGGAAGGTTGTTTTTAAAATTTTTTTATATTCCAAATATAGTTTTATTCGAATTTTTTTGATAAGATCTGTTTATTGATTTTACGTTAAACTTTCATAGATATCCCATCACTCAAGGATTTGGCTGCAAAACGTGTTGCTTCCTCAATTTCATTTGAACTTATTGAGGCTACTTATTCTCAACTTCCTACTGCACAGAAACGACTTCGGCCTCAACTTCCAAAAGAAAATATTGAACACATTGGACAACAACAGCACTTGCAAGATTATTTACCCGAACAATTGGTACTTCTTATTTTAAGACATTGCTTTCCTGAATCGTCAGAGAATATTCGGCTTTACAGGTTTTTTCTACTTTAATAATTTATTTAATATTTTTTCTAACCTTTCCAGCTGTTTAACTAATTGTGGCGATCGTTTATTTGCCTTGGGTGAAAACCTTTTCAAGAGTGGAGCTGTGTCCAAACTTTTTCAAATTGGTTTTAAGTTTTATAGAATAATATTTAAATTTTAATTATTTAAAAAGGTTGTCATTTATCTGCTAAAGTACAAGAACGCTTTGGATTAAGTAATGCTAGCAGCGGATTAAGTGGCGAATCTTTAACTAAATTGTACATTTCAAAAGAAACGTCAGAAAATAACGTCAAAACTTTCGATGTTTGCATTCTTGTTGATCGCTGTCGGATTGTTTCCTGCGCTTGCTCTTGTTCAAATACCTCGTTTTGGTGTCAACATGCTGTTGCTGCCTGCCTTCAACGTATTCAGCAGCCCAATACAGTGCAATATAGACCTGCAATTTGGGATTCTATTACATCTTTGCGTGATATACAAGCGAAAAAAATGGTTCAATGTTTGATAAATAAACTTCCTCGAGAGGTTAATTACAAATAGTTTTATTAATATTTTAACAATTTTAGTACATTCCCGTGGCTCAGGAACTAATTGACGCTCTAAAAGACAATAATTCTCTGATTAATCAAATTCAAGGTGCACCAGATCCAACTGTGAGTGGCCCTAAAAATCTTAAAAATATTTTTGGTTTATCTTTACAGGCCGGACCGACTGATGATACTCCTGCGGTTTGGTGTATGGACGAGAAAGCATTGCACGAAGAAGTTAGAAAAACTCTCATTAATTTTATGCGTCCGTCTGCCATGGTTTGGTATGTCGTTTAACATTAAAAAATATTCTTTTAATTTGTTTGAATCGAATTATGTAGCTTTCATAACTAATAAATTCTTTAGTGAGGTACAAAGTTTGTTGTCTTCTCCACCTGCTTTGGCTTACGAATGGAGTATTCTTTACAGAACCTTATGTGCAAAACAACCAGAATCTATTTGGAATCTGCTTGGAATGGTTGTATTTACATTTTAAACATTTAATTTGTTTTTAAGGTTCGGGTAATGCTAACACGTAATGATGCAAATGGTCCTGCATTGCTTCATATACTTACTGAAGAATGTTTAGCACTTGATTCTGTTCTTATCCGATGGTATCAGATCTCGCTTTCTGCAAGTGGACACTGGTACTTGATTGGCCCTAATGGTGGAAGTAGTGGACAACGCGCAAATGGTAATGCACAACAAAGCCAGTCACGCCAACTGTTAGTAAATTTTTTAATTTATGGTTGATAGTTTTCTTTTTAGCCTTTGCTATTTGCTTTGTCAAGAGTTGGCTGTAATTTTTCTATTTTTTTTAACTTAACAAGAATTATTTTTAGTCTCTTTGGCGACTTATTGCTTTAAATCCGCGACTAACTATTGAAGAAAGGGAGCAGCTTTGGGTGTTACTACAGCTCTACCAGAGAACGTCTGTTATGCGTATTTGGACAATTCTTGGGAAGGCTACTTCTACTGAAAATGTTTGTAGAAATATTTTTAATCTATTATATAAAATTCAGTATGTTTTTGGGACCGCCATGGATGCTCGTGGTAATCGTCTTTGCCAACAAAATGCTCCATTTGGACGTAATTTCTTCCCGGCATTTTTTCCTGCCTTAAGGGCATGTAAGCAGTTTAGTTGGACGCGATCTGAAGCTCATAGATTGTTGCGAGAAATGAATGTGTGTCCTCGTTTAAGTACTGACATACAGGCAAGCAATTTCATAAGTCGAGATATTTGTTTTTAAATTCATCTGTTTTTGTTTCAGATAGCTCAAAAACAACACGGTCGCTTCCCAACCCTGCCTTTCTTACGTGAAGCAGATAATGGAATTACACTTATTGATTTAGTGGAAATGGAGCGCCAATTGGGCAATTCATCAATTGCTTACAATCCAGATGCCGTTCTGGTTCCATCATCGAAATCATCCAAAAGACGAAAGAAACACAAAAAAGCACAGCAGCGTCAAAAACTGCAAAAATTGGGAATGAACAATGAAAGTACTAACAGGAAGCGGCGAGAACGCCAACAACCTTCGGAACAAGATGTAAAAGAGGATCTAAAAAATAATCAAGAACAAGTCAGCGAAATCAGTAGTGATGAAGAAAATCAGAAGCCTGAATGTAGTAAATCTGATCCACCAAAAAGGTTTTATTTGTTTTAAATTTTTATTTGGGAAAATACATATAAATTTTTAAGAGAGCAATATGAAGATGCTTTAGATAGACTTTTTGCTGAAGCACATGCTGACTTCGATGATCCATTTACTCTTCGTTTTATGTATTGTGAGGCTCTTTTTGCACATGGCTACTTCAATGAATCTTTACAATTTGCTAATATTTTGTCTGTAAATTTGATAAATAATCAACCAAACTTGTTACTCTCAATTGGAGTGACTGATTTACAACTTATGAAGAGTAATGAAGATGAGGCAGCAGAGCGGAAGACTAACGATAAATTGATAGCAAAGGTTTATTAAACTGAAATTTAAAACTGAAAAGTATGCTGAAATTTAAATTTTAGCCTTTTTCCTCTGTTCCACACTCCATTCGTCAGTCACATTTTCGTCGCCAGTTTAGTTCTGATTCAATTCGGCGCACTGAGACCAATGAAATTTACTCTAATTCAACACTTGCACGTCTCACAATCAGTCGTGCTCATCCTCGTTTGATGGCTAATTCAACTAATGCAAAAGATACATTAACTAAGACAATCTTTCTTGTTAAATTGTTAATGCTTGGAGAAGAGTTTTTTGATCGTAAAATGAAAAGATTTTCACGACAACATATTGCAACGACTCATAAAGCAGATAACCCAAAAGAAACTTCTAAAAGTGCGAATAGTTCAGTACAAGGAGAGTATCGCCTCTTAGCTTTAGAACTATGCCTGGCTACCATGCGAAATTTGCGTGGGCCATCTGCTACTCGTTTGCTAGAAATGGAGATTAACCAATTGGAAGGCGATTTATTTACATTATTGCATAGAATTGAGATTTGCCCTAACGGTTTGAAAATTGTACGCTCTCTAGCACAACAATTACTCAAAAATCTGGTAAAAATTTTTCGATTTATTTTGTAGTTAAGTTTTTTTAGGCAGTTGACAGCTTACCTACTAGTGTTACTGTTCCACCCACACGTTTGGCGCACTATATTGTAAATGTTCTTTCTTCCCCTTATTCTCCTTACCAACAACAACATCTACGAAATGCGGCACAACTTAGTGGTGGAGTTGATGCTTGGTAGAATTTTAAAACATAATTTATTCTATTCTTACTCTATCTACTTGTTCTATTTTAGTCAAATACTGCTCCCACGTTTTCAATCGGATTTATTCACCTATCGATTAGAGTCTGATGAACAATTGGCACTTGACCTTGCTCTTCAAGTGTTAAGCATGGGTTCGTCAGCTTTGATAATTTAAAATCATTCTTGTTATTTAAATTATTTGATAAACAGATTAGTTCTTTTCAGATGTGCATATTTCTGAACGTGACCATCCACTTTTGTGTGAATGTATCCGACGTCATCGTAAAGACTTACAGATGGTGCTTTTCACTAGAAATAGGGACTCACCTGAACGATTAGCTCGAGTATTGACCACTGCACTTGATGAGAAAGTGCATCGCATTTATGAGTGAGTTTTGTTATTATCATTCTATATTATAATTTATCTTCTTTTAGAGAATCTAACCGTTCTAATGTGGATTTCTTTTCATCTTCCGCTACAATTACAAACTCAAAGCCGCGCCCTTCTTCTCCACCTGATCAACAACAGGGATTATTCAACAAAAAACAACCTCTGTTATCGATTGGCTCTTTAACTGGCGTTTTCAGTTCCATTCAATCATCATCCAGTGCCACTTCTACAGCCACATCTCCTAGCAGTTCACCATTCGATTTGGGTATTGGACAACAACAAATTTCAGGAGACAGGTCCTTACACATTCACATCAGTATTTATTGTTTTATGAATTCTAAAAATTTCAGATTTTTCCCTTCAACTCGTTCTTCGATTTCTAAACCTTTTCCAATGCTAGCGAATCAAGCTAGCGAGGCACAGGCTCACCATATGTTTGAATTTGCTAAAGCTCTACTTTTAGAAGCTGGTGGAAATCAGAGTAGTCCCATGTTCAATCCAGTTCAAGCTATGGCTGCAGCTGCTTTAGGTGCTGCTGCTTTTCTTGGTGGTGCGGGAGCTCCTCAAATTGGTCCTCATCGTAATTTACACATTTGTTCGTTGTTGATTGCATTATATGCCTTGGGATTAAACAATGAATGCTCTCCTTCATGGAATACGCGTACCTATTCTACGCATGTTTCTTGGATTCAAGCACAGGCGTTAGATATTGGTACTATAATTTTAATGATTCTTTTAATTTTTTTGTTTTTATCCTTTTTAAGGTCGTCAAGCTTTGGAAATCATTCGCCGTACCTGGCACAAGCATTTAACTCCAACTGAGGTTGCATCTCTCGCCGATAAAGCCAGTCAAAGTAGTGACTTGTCTGTTGTTGAAGAAGCGGCTCAGCTTGCTCTGAGCGTTCTTCCTGAGGCTAATTCTCTTTTGCCTGCGGAGAGTCTCAAAGCACTAAATCAATGTAAAGAACGTTCGCCTCGAATGCTAGAGGATGCTTGCCTGGCTGTAGAAAAATCTACACAACGAGGCGGTGTCTATCCAGAGGTTTTTATTTTGTAATTATTGTAACATTTCTTGTAAAGGTACTCTTTCGTGTTTCTCATCATTGGTATAATCTCTATGTTGCACATCTTGCGGAGTTGGAAGGGAGTGTTATTGGTGAGCCACCGTCTTCAAATGTTTCTTTAAACAACAATAAATCAACTCAAAAGAACAATCTTAATTCTTTTCCTCATCAACAACAATATTATCTCCATCATCAGTCACCTCCTCAAATTCCTTTCTTCCATTCTTTACAGACAACTGACATCAAAAATACCTTCGTGGGGTCGACACAACAACCTGTCACTTCTGCTTCAACCTGGCAGCCTGTTGTAACACAACATCAGCCAACATTGCAGTTCTGCATTGGTATTGTCACTGTTTTAATATTAAAAAATTTATGCTTGGTACTAACATGTCATGCTGTGAAAAAACTCACTGGATGGAATGAACATTTAAGAGCCCAGATCGAAGCACAACCGACTAATTCATTAATATTCTACAAGTGTGGATTTTTTGCTCGACCTCCACGCTTTTCCCCATTTCAGAGTACCTTGACGTTTTGTATATCTAGGGGAAAAATACAAGAGGAAAATATTGAGCGTTAAAAGTACTGTTTGCTTTTAATAAATAAATAGACTTTGACCTTATTTATAGTGCCTCCGACAGCACCACCGCTTTACTTGATGCCACCGCATCTTCCTCCACCTCCATTTTATTCGCCTTCAATTCCTCCTCCTCCGTTGCCACAAGTTGCTGCACCGGCTGCAATTTTAACTAATGACAGTTCAACCTCTTCAACAAACAACAATTCGAATACTTTATTTCGTCTTCATCCGAGTTTTTCTGTTCCAAATATGGCTGGAGAAATTCAACAACAATCCAATAATATTTTACCAGCCACTGCTTGGGTTCAAGTACCTTTGCAACAACAAATTGCACAATCACAACCAACAACATCTGCTGTTCATCCAGTTGATTATGCTCCATCAATGAATCAGTCAATTCAGCAAAATTTTGTTCCTACAGGATTAAACCTCCGAATGCTTCCATCTATACACCAGCATGCAAATCAACATCAATTTGCGTCTAGTGCTGGTGCTGTTACTATGATTCAGAATCAACTTCAGCAACAACAACTTGTTGCAATTCAACAATTTAATCAACAGCAGCAAAATCGAGGGTTTCATCAAGTTTGTTTTTGAAATTATTTTCCATTATCTTTTTATTTCTAAAGTTTTCAAATTTCTGCTCTTTTTTAGTTAAATTTTCAACATCGTTTTCCTCCACCTCCAACAACTATGACAACTGGTCGCTTGGTTGTTTTGGATGATAGGGCTCTTTATCTTATACACAATGCACATCGTCTTGGTATTATGGCCATGAATAATTTGCGCAGTTCAGATAGCCTTTCTGCAAAATTTGCCAAGGTATTATTGATATTAAAAACAAAATTGTTAAAATTTAATTGGGTGGCGTGAAATTTGCAGATTGGCAATTGAGTAAAAAGAATAATAAAGATCTTATTAGATTTTTGTTAGAATAACCAAGATAGAATTAGAACATAAAATTTTTAAAACCTGTCTCTTCCGACTATACTATAACTTGGATCAAATGCGTTCGATAACGGGTCGGTTTTGATTTTTATTTTTTACTCAAGTGTCGATCTACAAAATTCGCTTTCGCACATTTGAATCCGCAAAGTCAGGTTTATCTATTCTAGAATCCTCCATCGTGTGACGATGTTTGTTGGCTATTGGATGTTTCTATTGAGATTGGCGATCCTGAATATGTTCGGATGTTTTGCGAAAAAGTGATTGCTTCAATTAGCTCGCCATTTGTGCTTATTGAACTTTTTAAGAGTATTTTAAAGGTTGGTAATTCTTTTTATGATTTAATTCATAAAAACTTCAGTTCTTCCATCAATTACCAAATTCACATCGAATCCCTGGCACAGGTCAAATTGAGGCTATTCTTTTGTCATCAAATGGAGATCTGGCAAAATTATGTATGCAGCAGGCAAGGAATGCAATGACCCAACATTCAATGTCAGGAATTGCTGTTGAATTGGCTCTTCATGCTATTTCGACTGCATTTTCTGCAGCATCTCATAAACTGAACTTTAATAATTTTAATGCACCTGACCAAGAATATGTGAGTTTAAATATTTTATTAAATTTAAAATAAATATTTTTGAAGGTTTGTGATTTGGCTTTGATTACTCGTGAATTATTTCGTTTATTACCTCCTACAAGCCATCATGATCAACAACAACCACAGGGACGAAGAAAATATATGGATATTTTTATGGAGCATATGCAGAAACAGAAATGTTTTAGAAAGTTCAAAAATGTCCAAACCGCTATACAAAATGCTTTACAGCAACAACATCAACAACAAAGACTTGCATCACAACAACAAGTTGTTGTAGATGATCAACAGCAACATCAATTAAGAATTAGAGGAGGTAATGGCCAACAGCATTATCACTCTCATTTGCCACCTAACAATAACAGCTAATTTTGTGTGGAAGGATAACATAAAAATTATAAGATTTTTGTGTTTTTATTTATGGTAAATTTAAAAATGTTTTTTTGTTTTTTCTTTAAAATAACATCAACTTTTTATTTTAATGTATTAAAAAATCTTTTCTTTTAAAATTCATCGATTTTATATTTGACAATTTATGTAAATTTATTTGCTTTTTTCTTTTTTTTTTTATTAAAATTTGGCAATTACATCGATTTTATTTAATTTCTATTTTTTATCTGTCAGAAACTCCGTACATAAAATAAATATAATTATCAAGTTTTTTGAGATAAAAATATAAAAATCATAATCGTAAAAACAACAGACTAATTTTTAAATATTTCCACTTAAAAATATAAAACAAAAAATTTCATTTCGAATCTTCTAATTTTTAAATGTTTTTGTAATTGGCATGATATTTTGTATATGGTTTTTCGTTTAAAGCAACAATTTTAAAAAACCTCATTAAATATATTATTGTATTTAAATTCATAAAATTTCAAGTTCAATTAAATTTTGTATTACTCTGTTAATTCTTTATTTCCCTTAAAATTAAATTATAATTATGTATGTGTTTATAAAACACCAAGTATTAAAAACAAAAAAACACCAATATCTTCAAAATTTGTAAATTTTGAAGAGTCTCATTAAAAAAGAATTAAAGTTTATTCGAAAAGGGAATTTAGTGACCAAGGAAAGTTTACTTGTTTAAAGAAAACGAATGCTAAAACTAAAACCCTTTGTTTCGTTGGTATCACGACTTTTGCGCCGAGAACATTTGCGCCGCGACTTATGCGCCGCGACTTTTGCGCCGGGCGACTTTTGCGCCGCGACTCTTGCGCCGCGACTTTTGCGCCGGGCGACTTATGCGCCGCGACATTTGCGCCGCCAATGTTTAAAAAATCTGGATCCGAAAAAGGCTGGATATCCGAACTTTTCAGTTCGGATATCGGATCCGGATATCCGAAGATTTCTAACTATCCGACAAATCTACTATAGTGATTTCCGGCTGAAGTTATTCATATATTTTTAATGATAGTGGCGGCGCAAAAGTCGCCCGGCGCAAAAGTCGCGGCGCAAAGGTCGCCCGGCGCAAAAGTCGCTCGGCGCATAAGTCGCGGCGCAAAAGTCGCGGCGCAAGAGTCGCGGCGCAAATGTTCTCGGCGCAAAAGTCACGGAACCGTTTCGTTATACAATTTACCTTTCTTTACTAAAATTTTTTAAAAGTTTTTAAATTTTTAAATTATAAATATTCGTCACTAAAAACAAAATAAATTTAAAAATTTATTTTATGTTTGCAACTTTTTTTTAAAATATTTTTCTGTAAAATATTTGCATAAATGTTTATTTTTCTTTTTTTGTTTACTTATAAATTCAAAAAAAATTCAAAATAATAATAAAACTATAAATGAGAATTTACATAAAAATTTTTCCGACTCACATGAAAATACTATAGAAATATTTTTTATTTTAAAGCGGTCTAGACATTAAAATCTTTTTCTTAAAATTAATTATTTTTTCAACTTAAAAAAATTTGAACTATAGTACTTATCATATGTAGGTCGATCGAAATTTCGGTTTCTGACATTTTTTCGCTTCCGATCTCCAAAATTTTGATAAACTTGAAATAATTTTTGAAGCATTATTCTGACAGAAAATTTTGGCCAAAATTTTCAAAATTCGCCTGTGGCTCTAAAAATGGAAGAAATCAGCTTCTTGAACTCTAAACTTCTCAAAATTTCTACTGTTTTAATTTTTCTGTTTTGACTTAAGTTTAATTTCAAAATTAAGAAGGATTAAATGGGATATGTGTGGATTTGGGGGGACAAAGGAATATTTAAGGATTTGGACGTAATATCGGGTATTATAAGGGGTTAAAGAGTACATCTATAATTTGGAGGTTATTTCCAACCGACCCCTGGATAATTAAAAAAAAGAATTTTTTAAATCAATTTATTTTTATTTTTCAAGTCAAAAATAGTAATAAAACCCGCTTTTTACTCTCCCCATATACCCACTTTATTTTTACCCAAATAAAGCATTTACTTAGCTTTTAGTCAGCCATTTGCTTTTTTGCTTACTTCTTTGCTTTTATTTTTTTCTTGGGAAATTTTGTAGCTGTAAATTTTTGTTGTAAAATTAAGTATAAATACTTTAAGTATTTTAAATAAATTAATTTAAATTAAAAAAAATTAAAATTTATCATTTCAACAAAAATACCTAAATTAATAATTAAAGTACTTTCACGCCCACTTTTAATTAAATTTTTATAAACAGATTAAGGTCTATATAAATTTTTTATTTATTTACAAGTAAAAGTTTAGTTCAAAATTTTGTCTAGTCATATATTTTATATTATAAAAATAAATATTTTTAATTTTTATTTAAATATAAATTGACTTTTTAAAAGCTTTTTTTCATTTCCTTATTTTGTTAGCCATTAAAAATAAAAAATATTCTTGGCTTCCCCCCATTTGTCCACTACTGTG